ATTTTGACTGGAGTTGGGTCATAGGAATGTCATTAAAAAGAACAAAAACACTACGAATAATAATGATGTTCTTCAGGACCAGGTTTGACTGAGTCAGACTGGACCTGTAGGGGACTCCAATTCTGCAGTAGCATGATAAGTGAAGTACCACCTAGCCTATCATTTTTTCAAGACTAAACCGGTGGTTGCGTTCGTTCGGTGCCCAGGTTTGGTCCAAGTTGTTGCCGAGGTTGCAGGGTGGAGAAAAATGGGTAGAACACTTAGATAGCCGGTTGCTTTGCCACCGGTGGTGGAGGCGGGCTAGCTAGACTGCGATGCGATGAATGATTTAGTTTAAGGGAAAATCGGCTGTGTTTTTCACATCCAAAACTATGGCTTTCCTGTAGATCCCGGTCAAAGCAATTCTGGGAGAGGTAGGCCTTGTGGTTTGAGAATCCACATCTCATGGTTGTTTCCATTTACATATAGGAACCGTATCCCTCTTTGGTGTTGAAGAGTCTTCCCACTCTTTCTATATCTTTGATCCTCTATACACGTTTAGCGTCCTTCGACCTTCAACTCTTCAAGGGTTTGTTCCGGTTCAGTCAATATTGTTCTCAAGAGAAAGTGCCAAATGTTTGGACAGCGCTTCGTGAGAGCTACTTACTGTAGTGGTTACTGTAGGTTTGAGGGTGAATCCAGGCATGGTGAAAGGTGGCCAAGGAGCAATGCCAATACCAACACAGACTCTCGCGGAAGCATTTGACGGGATCCAAGTATCACATCGTATCACAACATATCATAAGCATACCGAACTGAATGCTCCAACTGAGGCTTAGACTTCCGGCGTGAACACCTGGGCCCATGCGGATAGATTATACTGAGAAATCGCCCACAACCCCGAGAGATCAGTATACTTCAAGTCAACATGTTCTTCCCAAGAGCTGGGGGCTCTGGAGATTTAAACAATGCAACCTAATAGCGATGGCCTCCAACCGAAAGAGGGTGTTTTGCTTCTGTGAACTCGTTCGTCCATCCTTCTCATCTGGTCGAAACGACGCCGCCAAGGCTCGAAGGCAGACACGACGAATGGTCAAAGACGAATGGTCCCAAGCACTATCACGAAGGAAGTCACACGTGGTCATCCCTCATGAAGGGTTTTAACATGTTCTAAAGTTTTAAAGATGTTTGGATACAATCCCCGTGAATCTCTGGCAATCCATGGCATCGCTCCATATCTCTCCTCATCTCACGGCGCCGGCGGCGTTACCAGAAGTGAGACCAGTACGGGTGGCCAAGAAAGTCCAGACGGCGGACATCGAGGTGCTCTTGTTGTCGGGCCAAAGCTTGAAGCTGAATACTTTTGAAGGCGCGGCCTGCCTCGACGGCCGGCCTGCCTGCCTTAGGTGTTTTTGGTTTCAACATCGACCCGTGACGTTGACATGGTTTGGTCGGAGTCCGCAATTGACGTCGTTTTGCGGACCGCGGGGCGTCCGTGGGTTTTGTTTTTGGGTGGTTTTATCAGAAGGATGGTGCAAGAAAAGGGAACTGTGAGATGATGGGGGGGGAATGATGTTTGTCTATTTGTATAGGAGATTTGTGGAACCACTTTGTGGTTGCTTAAGTGAACATATATAGTTCTAATGGAACTGCTCGGCTCAGGGCACAAAGATGGACAATGGTGGCAAACAAGCACGTGCCAATAGCAGTCCTAGTTTCACCTTGAGCTGCTGGGACTGCAAACCAAATATGAATGTTAGCCCTGCTTGGAACACACCACGTAGACATACGTAAACAATATGAGACTTGTAACAGCAAAAGTCAACACAAAAGTCAACTCGGGGGGTTCCGGGGGTTCTGGGAACGAAAAGTCAACAGTTGCCACCTTGGGACACTCACGATTAGATTGGTGGGAGGGTTGGCTCTACATCAGTGATTTGGCTCTGAGTCAAAGGGGTTCGGCTCAAACAAATGTCAAGCTGTGAGACGGTGAGACGGTCCCTAGATGAACTCGCTGCTTTTGGAGAGCTCCTTTGTGCTGGATGCTCAAAGCAACTTGCTACCTGGGAGTTCTCCCTTTAGTTAACGTCTTGTTTTGCTTCTCAAGGTGTTTCTTTCTCTCTTCGCATAGATAGTCGCTGATGTGTCCTGAGCGTCCACAGTGGCACTCTTGGACCGCCCAATGGGGCTGCGCGCGGATTTGTTCAGTGGGACGGGTAGAAGAGGTTTTACCATCTATATCAATGGGGGTTTTATAAATCAAGATTCTACTTGTACATGTCTTCTCTCTACTGAGCATCCAGTTTTTCCACCCTTCGACTCCAGGTGACCAATGGGAGCAGCTGCAAGTTCGTGCAGCGGAGATCTTAGAGGTTCCTCCTTGTGCGGTGCAGCTGCTCTCTGCGGGGCAGCCCTTGAAGCTCCATGAACCCATCGACTTAGAACTGTCTGGAGGCATTCAAGTGGTGAAGCTGGATCTCAGCATGCAAGGCGCGATGCGGAGCTCTTTTTTGCTCTCTTAAATCTCCCTTCCTTTTGAACATATTATATATGTTTGTATTTCAACGCATGATCTTGGCGGCTGTTGTTGTGGTCAGTTAAGGGATTGTTTGGGTAACATGGGAATGGAATGGAGGGTGTTGGGCATCAGCATGTTGTTTTCAATCATTGGCCTGCTGCTTTCAGATGGTGCTGCGCTCAGCCCTCCGCAAGCAGTTTTTGGGCAGCTGTTAGTAGCTGATTGAGGGTGGCACCATTTCCAAGAGTTTCTAGATGGAAGGGCTTTGGATTGGTTCTGCCGAAACGCTTCTGACGAAGCCTTTCTCGATGTCCATCGTTTTTGGGCGTCCATTTCGCGTGTTCGGGAGAAGTTGGAAGATCCATGGTCTTCACTCAACAAGCCGTGGGGATCCATGCTCACATATACTCATCCATGCCCGTGGCGCTTCGTTCGTGGTCCTGGTTTTTTGCCATGCGCACGAGGTGCATGGAAGGTGGATATCAGCCAGGGATACTCCTTCATTTTGACGGTGGAGGGTGCTGATGGCTCCTTTGAGGGAGAATCCTATGGTACCTGGTCCAACATCGAGGTCGATCCTAGGACTGGGAGCTTGAAGGCATCTTGGGTCTCTGGCAAGTACTCTTGGCTTGCAATTAGAGTCGGAAGGCTTTTCAGAGTCAGCAAGTTGGCCAAAGAGTGGTCACTCTCCATGAGACTATATATACGATATACATATATATATATATTATATATATATATGAGACTCATGATTGACATAGGGGGAAGTATCTTAATCCAAAAGCTAATACTGTGGTGATATGAGGGCCCTGCATTGCGATTGCACCATGTTTGTTGTGTTTGAGAACGTGTGCATGATTTACTATGCTGATTCTTCTTTGGATTGCTCGTGAGGTATGGGAACACTGGCACGCTGAAGGGTACCTTCAACAGTCCGCACGGCGGTATCTACGATGCTTTCTTTGATAGCGGCCAGAAAGTGCACTCGGCAACTTTCAAGAGGGTCAAGTAGTCAAGTGGTGCTGGCTGGAATCTGATCCAACAGTCATTTCTGGAGTTCAATTTCTCAAAGAGAATTGAATCAGGGACTTGGGCGGTTCCGGCATCTCGCACAACTCTGACATACTCCAACAGCACGTTGGTTTTCCCTGGTCGCAGCCAAAAAGATCCGCCACGACATGTGCCAACGGGTCGCGATGCTCACGGTGTATACTGTTGGTGTTCGGCAGGATCCGCGTTCCCAGCCGCGCACGGCTCCCGTGCCTCGCGCGGGAGTCTTGGGCCGTGTTTGGGGCTGTCGAGCTGGTCGAAGATTGAAACACGCCCCCTTTGAGATTTCAGGTCTCGATATTGTATTTTCTACTACACAATCATATATATATATATAAACTATATATGACTATAGTAGATGAACCTAAGATTCCAACATATTCCAACTTGCCACCATTTGGTTGCACATGGTTTATACATGTCTTTACGGAAGAACCCTTGTTTTGCTGTTACAAAGGAATTTACACGACCAAAACCAGGGACAGTGCCCGACACGGGCTCGTTGCCCCTGTCGGTCAACGGGTAGACATTCATAGCGCGGATAAAAAGAGTTTGTTTTGGAGCCAACTAGGAGCAAAAGGCATCGCTACTAGGGGCTCCTGGCCCTACTACTAGGAGGAAGGACGCCACTAGGGCCTGGCCTTACTACTAGTAACAAGAAGCTATTTTGGGAACAAGAATTAGAATTCAATTGATCATGCATTGGTCTCTTTTCGGAACGAAACCGAACTGACCAGTGGATTGGGTCTGGTAACCCCCGTCACGTTGGGATCGCCGCAGATGTGTTGTGCCAACCGGGGCGTTGAAGAAAGAGGCCTTGACTTCTGTCAGCCGGAAGAGTTGGAACTGTGCTGCTATGTTGGGGAAAGTCTGCAGTACACCACCCACCTCCACGCGATGTGTTCATCAGAGTGTACTCAAATGTTAGTGCATGCTGCAACAGGTGTTTTTTTCGAGCCATTGAGGATCAGCTTCACATTGAGTGAGCCCAGCGGTGGCAGAACAACTCCGCACTTCACAATTGACACTCGAAAATACAGTGTGAGACTTGTATGGGTTCCAGATGGTTCCTGATTCTCTTCATGCATTGTCCAATTCTCAATCATTTCCATAGCTTCTTTGTTTTCGCTTCAGAACACTGAAATAATCTGAAACATAGCATGCCAGCGAGCCACCCTCCCAGCCCAGCGCGCCCAGCGCCAGCAGCTGGGTTTCCCCGGACAAAAGAGCAGCCGAAAGTATGTATGTAATTGTATGCAAGGGATGGCTACAACATGGTATAATGTACTTTCGAACCAGACAATCACCCAAATCACCGCACAAAAGACTTGGTTTGTTTATGTTTCATGTAACATCAATGATACAGTACATCATACAACATCTTTTTGACATCTCAATGCCGGACGCGTCTAAGGAGTCGCTGTAGACGGGAAACCCCCTTCATGGCGACTCAATGCCAGTGGCCAGCCGTTGGCTTCTGCTGTGCCACCGGACCGCAGGTCCTGGGGACCCCGAAAGGTAGAGGCATCCATCCAACTGGGTGTCATCATTCTGGATCTTGGGAGGGAGAGTTTTTGTTGTGCAAAACTCGAGGATTTCTATGATCTCGTGGTTTGGACCCCACTGGTGCCAATCCAGCTGCCGACAGTACACTCTGAGTTGAGACATTGATTTTTGCTTAATGTTTTGAGAGGTCATTGTCCAATGCAATTCCTGTGTTTTTTTTCCGCTGTGTAGCTTGGATGCTAGGATGGAGCTTAACATGTCCAAAGCAACTAAGCAAATGCTCTCACTGAAGACTTGAGGGTGGATGGAAAACCACAACAGTTGTCATACTGCAGGGAGGTGGATAGGATACAATAGTGGTTCCTGATAAGATGGAAACTTTCTATCTTAGGAAGACTCGTTTGCTCTAGGTGGTTGAAGCCGATCATTGTTGGTGTTTGAAGGGGAGATCACCAGAAACAATACACAACACCTTTTTTGGTATTCGTTGTAAATGAAAAAGGGATGAATACACAACAATGATCACAACAATGCATAACAATACACAACACCTTTCATATAGAGTTCTTAGTGAAAAAGGGGCCAGCTGAGTTCTTGTTCTGAGAAGAAACCCCCACGGTGGCGCACTCCGACCGGTGCGTGGATGAATTAGCCTGTGTTTTACGTGTTTGATCGTAGCTTGCAAGCACAGGTGCGAAAGGAAGAGAAAGACATGCCACCTGAGAAGGGATATGAGAATCAGTCCATTTCAGGAGTCCAACAGGAAGATTTATTACAGGGGGGGGGAAGGAGGGAGCACCTTGTTTTGAGGTGATACAGAGGGGATAAAAGATGCCAAGAGTAGCTAAAGAGTTGAATAAGCTGTGCGTGTTCAGCCCATGTCCGACATGATCAAGTCACGAGGTGGATGGCAAAGAAGCAACGTTATGTGATATATACAGTATTTGGTTTCCAGATACGCCCGGGAAGATTAACATGGAACCTGATGGCATGGACCTTTGGAAGACCAATTTTCCTCTACAAACCAATACATACCAGTGATTTTCAGGTTCCAATGTTAGTCTCTTCCAGGGCGTACATGGATACCTGGTGCATCCTGGTGCTTTCTCGCTTCCTGACATCATTTGCACCTGAAAACACAGCTACCTGGCGCATCCCTCTCGGAGAGTCTCAGGCATTGGCGCCCATGCGCAGGACGCCCGTTTGACATGGGGATGGGGTTGAGCAGGCTATAATAAACTGTATAGTAAGGTCAAAGTCTCTTCGCATGTGGCTGTTCCTGCAGAGTTCAGAAACGGAGGACTGGTGACTTTGTGGTGCTTGAGAACCCCTTCAAGTTGCATCAGACACGCCATTGCCATTGCTTATCTCAACACAAGTTTGACAGCATTTGCATTTGTGTTGAATGTCGGCTGAGTTCGCTTGCGATTCAAGCACCTCACAGTGTCTCCAGTATGGTAGGGCTTGCATTGGTGCTATTGCTTGGGTTACATTTGTTCAGGAGAGTGCCGCTGGTTGCAGGCGTGGTGACACAAGCACAATTGTATGCCATGATTTTCTTCACTTGCTTGGCAATGGACAATCTCACAATATCAATATCTCATAATATACTGTTCACTAAACTGTCTTATACAGGGCATTTTGACAGTCAGAAACCTACAGAGCAAGGTAGACTTTGACTTGTAGACTTTGTAAGCGTTTCGCTTTCAGATGCCAGCCCATGTGCTGGTCTTCCCAGGTCTTCCCAGGCCGTTGTTTCAAAAAACGCAGATCTTCTCATCCTGGCCGCCGTATGGCCGTACTTCTCGTCTTCTCGTAAAGCCCTGCACCTCGTTGTTCAGGTATTTCCATGAGACTGCTTGTGCAGCGGAGCCCTTTCGCAGCTTCTTCCAGGACGAGCCGCTGGCGAGCCGCTCGCAGCGCGGAGAACGGGTTTGCGAGCCGTGGCGAGGTGAAAGGGACTGGTGGTGACGGTGGGGGGGGGAGTAGACCGAGTAGACCCTTAGGCCACAAGGCAAGACCCTGAGGCCAACCTGGCAATGTCTCTCATTTCGGATGTAGGACGTAGAAGATGTTTTCCACTTCATTTTTATAGGGGTTATAGAAATCCCCCTTTGATGCAAGAGATTTGGAACGAGGCGACATGTGGAAAGCCAAGCTATTTAAACCGTGTATTGGGGATCTTCACCACATAACATACCACAAATCTGATCGTAGATCATGCGAGAACCAATCTCAAGCTGCTGAAAATGCTGATTGGCGAGTTCTTCTTCCGCAAAAACAGGATCGGGCAGTTTTCCAATCCCATGAAACACCGCACCTTTGCCAACATAGAATCTCCATAGTAACCAAGGGACAGGCTGCAGGACAACTTCCTTTGGCAATAATACATACAGCATCAATATGATGTCTTAATACGCCGGGTATTCCCATCCCAACAGCCTCAAAAGATCAGCACTATACTGTATATCTATATATAGTTTAAAGGTCTCTGAGTCATTTTCACTATGCACTCTAGAGCTATTACAATATAATATGCGACATATTTAATCATTTAATAATACATGGTTTTACAATCTATATATTTATCTATTACATTGTATTATTATACAATATTACACACATATTATACATTATTTTACCATTACGCACATGTTTCTTCGGTTCTGCCTCCCCCATGTTCGGTTTCCGGCTGCTTTCCTTTGCTCCGCCACTTCGCCCAAACAGCCATTGAAGGAGTGGCGGAAGAAGGCGACAGACCACGGGCGAAGCGTGAGCCGACGAACGCCCACGCCCGAACAGCCTCTGACTCGAGCGCTGAACGACCCCTGATGAAGGGTGGTCCAACGTACCAGGGGCCCTACAAACCATCAAAAAACTATGGTTTTTGTATGTGAAAACGGTTATGTTTCATGGGTGTGAGGGCCACTGGTAGGGTATGTGGTTAGCAGCCTTGACTTTAATTTTTCAGCTGAACTCAAGGATTTGCTACAATTTGAGACAAACCACCCAATAGATCATGATCAAGTTTTCAAGCATCCTTGCGGTTTGGGAGCCGATAAACGGATGATCCTGGTAGGTTCATAATGGTACTACCCCCACAGGTCTAGTCTGACGTCCATCCTGGTTCTGAAATGTCCTGAACCCCCCATGTTTTGCATGACCAACTGCAGTAAAATGAGGTCGAGTTCTGACCTACGTAGGGTACCTTTTGAGAGTAGCCTCCAAGACGCCACAACATAAATAAGCAGATACAAACTGGACAATGGTTGGCATACGTGTACTTCCAAAAAAGGTTATGTCACAGTATTACTGTAGTAGATCTTCCTGGAATCCCAAAACAGCCTGACCACGACCAGGAGGGCCTTGCTAGGCAATGAAACAGATTCTCTTCTGCCTCAACGGCACCTGCTGGGCGGGATGGGTGGCACTCCACGGCGGCTTCGAGCCATAGCCAAGCTTTTTTTAAATCTTCTTTTCTTTCCCTAGGGATCCAAGTACCTTCTCAAAAGGTGATTGGAGACACTGTTATGTAGGTTTGTAGGGTGCAAGTACCTTCTAAGAAGGTACTTGGATCCCTAGGGTTTGAATGGGATGAGGTCACCCCAACCACTGCCATAGCCCGGCATCGATCCACATGGTGAAACCCGTGATGCGACAGCCTGCTAGACAGAATGTTGGCTTTGCAACAACCAGGAGTCGCTGGCTCAGATGAAAGCTTCTGAAGGCGATAGAGGTCGGGTATCGTGATGCTTCCACCACCAGCTGTATCGTCCACAACCAGTGATGCTGTTCTCAACATCTGTATAGACTCTTTGGGGTTGCATCATTCTTTCTTTTGCAAACCATGTGATGCTGTAGACTCTGTCATTTTTTGGGTTGCCTATGTTTATCCCATATGTACATATGTTGCAAACAATGGTCATGTCATTTTTCCGCGTCGACTTCAATCGATTGGGCACAGCACTTGTGGCTCCGCTCCGAGGCTGGTGCTCAGCGCCAAGGAGGTCTTGAAGGACGTCGACATGGGCGCGCGAAAGGGGAGCCGACAGAGGGAACACAGCGGGGAAAGCGAAAGACGAAAACTCAAGGGGTGCTCCGGAGGTTTGGTTCCAGTAAACAAAGAGTTCTGAATTCAAGTGCTAGTATATAATTAGCTACTAATTAGTCCTATAGTAGCAGGGTCCCAGAATGGCCCAGGTATGCCTTAGTAGTAGAGTTCGCCCTCCTCTATGCTGCTGGAGCCTCGCACAGAATGCAAGCAGACAGACAGCACTGACAGCACCATAGAATACAGATGTCATCAGATTTCCATCAGCCGGCGATTCCTTGTCGAGCTTGACCATCCCGGAATCTGTGACCCACCCACATCGGGGATTGTGCCTTTGAACATTGCAAGTCTTTGGTGAGCTTGACCATCCCAGACTCAGTGACCCACATCGGGGATTTTGCCTTTCAGGGTTGCACATACTTGGCGAACTTGATTATCCCAAACTCTTTGACCCGACAAATCGACTGGAAGAGAAGCAGAAAAGTGTTCAGACTGTGCGTCTGTTGTTCGTCTTGGAGAGCCAACTGCTTTGGGCTGTTCACATTGGGTGAAGAAGAAGCCCTCGGGTGCCCAGCCTGCAGCCTTTGGAATGTTCGAGGTTTGGAGGAGTGACGTGCCCGCTTCATGCGGCCAGCATATGCCAGCATGTGGATTTAAAGAAGACATCACAACAATTTGTATGTGTTCTTATTTGTTGCGACTTAAGAAAAAAGGGGTCCCAAAAAAAAACAACAGAAGGAGAAGAAGGAGCAATCATGTTTCCCATTTCGATTTCCTCCCCCAGGCATTGATGGCCTCGCCCTCTCCAGCCAGTGAGATCCCAGGACTTCCTCTATGTGGAACGGCCTGAGATCCCTTCCTTGGGACAGGACAGGGTCCATACGGTCGACGCGTTTCAGGAATGAAGACGACACTCTTCTGGTGCTAGGAGTAGCGTTGATCGAACTTGAAGAAAATTGAAGGAACGTATACTGTATACTGTGGTTGTAGAGCTTGGCCGCTTTCCGAACTCAAAGCAGATGACCGAGAATCTAGCGTGCAGAAGACTAGTCAAGTCGTTTAGACATGCCAGCTGAAATCCAAGAAGGCAGGATAATGTACATTGATTCCTTGGTATATGTTGGTTTATATTTGGTCCTGCACATATAATAAGATGTGTGTCAGTGTATTAATATTGTATATAGATTGTTATATATATATATTATATATTTATATTCGTCCAAAATTATATGTTTTTTGTTGATGAAGATGACACATAGTTTTAGTGACTAGCGGAGCATGGACCAACGGGGTAGCAGCTTTGCCAACAGGAGAAGCATCAACTTGATCGAATTGGTGGCTTGTTAAGTTATTCCCTTGACATGGACCCACGTCGTTTGAGGAAGATGAATGTTATATTACAGCATATAAATATATATTTAATTTAACACAATCTATTTTTGCATTTGGGCAAACATGACCTCAGACTCAGAGTTCGCTCAGGGTTCACGGGGCGCCCATATTGAAATCAGCATAAACTGCTCAGTCGTTGCACGGAAAGCACAGCGAGCCTGCAAATCCCAACATGCCGGGGGCAGCCCGTGGGACGCGGGGTCACAAGCAGCCCGTGGAAGGACCTGGAACTGCATGGCACCTGGAAAGAGCCAGAGACCCAGATTGACTGGATCAAATTGACCAGTTCCTCTTGGATCATTGGGGAATGGGTGGGTGGTGTTTCATGAGCGCATCATGATGGCATCATGGACTCATTTGAGCAACGTGATCAGTGGCACTGGAGGACGTGCCTGGCGGGCTTCTTGTTGGCGCTGTTTGCGACCACTCGAAGTCAGGTGCGCACACGGGAGAAGGGGAGGGCAACGGAATTCATGGGTTTCTGTTGTAACGATTCCCAGGCCATCCATGTAACATACTTATCTACATTACATTGACTGTCATTGACCTTTATTGAGATGTTAAAACAACCTGGAATCACCACAACATGTAGGGAAACATGGTCCAGTCCATTATTTTGTTGGGATACATTTTTCTGGGTCCCAGTCCCTGAGAACTAGAGCCAGTCCGCCACATCGGATGTCTTGTTTCACGACTGGTCGTTTTGGTCGGGGTCATCGACTTTGACATTCTTCGGAGTGTTGTTGGGCCCCCAGTTGTACGGTCTAAGTGAATTCGGTATCTCACTACGTAGAAGCCTGCCAGTTCCATGTGGCTCCATGATTGGAATCCGATGAAGAGTTTTTGAGAGTGCTTGCTAGGAGTCGGTAGCGGTAGTGCTATAGGCTGCCTGCCGTGCCGTGCTAGGAGTCCGAGGCGTGGGTCTTCGCACCTTCAAACTCCACTCGATCATTGGACCCAAGTGGACCCTCAGGTCTTTCAGAGGACACTCCATGCCTTTGTCGTCCTTGTGGGTCACCCGCAGGGTTCCACCACTGGGGAATTGGCCGAAGGCGTGCCCCAAAATAGAGGAGTTGGGACCGGGACCTTGGAAGATCTTGGAATCCCAACGTGTCAGAAACCTGGAAAACAGGGTTATGGGATGACCAACCAAGCTTGGTGGGTTCAGGGATATTTTTCCACGAGGTTTGGGGCACCTCCGGCTTCTTCTCCAGTCCGTGCAGCCTTGGCGCTTCTATGATGTAGGCCGGGCAGCCCAGGTGTTGACTGCCTTGGACCACACAGAGTGGCTGCAGTACTTCAATTGCTCTTCAACCGCCACAGCTTTAGGAAGGATACATCAGCATGACATGTGCAAAACCCCATGAAACCGGCGGTCCAAATGTAAATAACAACTAGCTCTAACTACCCGAAAAGATCGGCCAGAGAACCGCCTGGCAGACGTGGAGGTTCACCGCACGTGAACGGTGAAAACCGGGTGGATGAGGTGAAAACCGGGTGGATGACGTCTGAGGCTTGTCCTTGATAAATAGCTGCGCCTTTGACGAGGCGAAGAAGCCGTCCTCGGTGTTGTACAGCCGGGATGGAGGAAGATCACTATAGATTTTGATGTAGAACTGTAGAACCATTATGACCACAAAGGAAACCATAATGATCACGATTATTAGTTTTAGAACCATTCTCACTATAGTTTTTGATCACAAAGGGTTGCCTGCAGTTGTGTAACATTATGACCTGAAGCATTGTGAGCACGTGAACAAAAAAAAAGCCTCCGTGGCCCCAGTATGCCCTCACAAAAGTATGTATCACCCTCACTGCCAGGTCTCCGAAATGCTGGCTCATACTGACGACTTGAAAATTACAGGTTGTTTTTGAAGTTGGGTGACTCACCATCCTCCCAATCGAACTCGCCATACTCAGCTGTCCCACCCTCGAACTCGCTCACGCTCCGTGTGGTGAATGAACAGGCCACCTTCTACGCACGCCATGGGATCACCACGGCACAGGCGCACCGACTTGCCGGAGGTGACGAAGCGAGGAAGCCCCGGTGTTTTCACCGCTGTTGTTGTATATAAAGGCTTCTGCAAACAGATCCTGGAAGCGGCATGGGCAGGGGTGTTTTATTTATGTCAACATAATTACTGTCAGATGGTCATCATGTTGTCTTGGCTGGAATTTGTTGTTCACGTGTTCCTTTATTCTGTCAGTCCACAATCCACCCGATTTTTTTGTTTGGACCGTCAGCTCGTGAATCAGTATGACTCCCTTGATTGATGCATGGCACCATCAGGATGACCATGACAATTTTACTGTAAGGATTGACCAAAAAAGGTGGTTTGCACTCCACTTGTGTAAGCCAAGACTTTCTTGTATCCTGCAGAGGACTATGCTTATGGTGACATCAAGTGACCTACTTGGCTTTTCTTAAGGCACCTTAAGGCGGCCTAAACCATCCAGTCTGGGGGTGCGTCCAATGGAGATCCCTGTAGTCTATCGGACAGCCAGACTGGAGGGGCCCGGAAATGCAGATGCTCCAAACTTGAGCGGTTTGGCAACTTTTTTGGTGCTTCAGAACGTGCCGAAGAGGTGGACAGCCGCTGCTCTGCTCCAGGTGGCCTACAATTTCTACGTTTTGGGTCTCCCATATCATTTGCCAGATCCAGTCCTACACCTACAGGCGGGACAGCGACACCGGACACCGGTGGGAGACGGTGGGATGAACCAGCATGAGACGGACTGGTGGGTGCAGCGGAGGAACACGCATGAAGCATTGGGCCAAGTTTGTTTGCCCTTCCAAGACACACCGGACGTATGGACTAGTTACGTACATAGGATTCATGACCCTAATGTATCCAAACAGAACGAACAGGTGTTTGTACCCTGGAAGAGACCACGATCCCGGTGTCCGGTTAAACCACTGACCCATTGGGCCATCGTCGGAGGCACCGGGACGCCAGCCACCGGTGATCGCCGGTTCAAGCCCCCCATGGGCCACGGTGGTCGCATCGGTTTTCGCAGTGGCACCTAGAGTCTGGATGTTGTTTTGACTGTGGTTGCGCTGTTGCGCGGTTTGCATCTTCTACAGCTTGGGGGTTGTGGTTTGGGTTTTGAGCCCCGAGGCTGCCAGAATCTCCGTGAATCTCGGATCCTCACCAAACCCTTTAGATCATGGCAACATAGACTCTTGATGAATAATCCCCCCCATATGAATATATAATAATTTATATATGAAGAATTTATATGAAGAGGATGTCCAATTCAAATGGGGGTTATTCATCAAGAGTCAAGAGTCTACATTAGTGTCTACCATGTGTGGCACGTCTCCACGCGGCACAGACTCTCCTCCAAACGACCTCAGGCGGCTGAGCTGAGCGATGGAATGCATCGGCAGGAGCTCGGCGGAGCGGATCCAGCATGGCCATGGCCCAGTCTTACCCACCCTAGGGCTCCTGGCCTACCTCCATTTCGCAGATGGTTGGGGTGGGTTTGGGGGGTCCAACCACCGAACCTGAGGATATGCGCGAGCTGAGTCTTACCCAGATCCGGGCCATCCATGTCGTAGGCCCCTGACTCTCTACTGCAGTGCCTTCTATATAGTGGTGACTGGAATCCGTAGCTATGGCTAGTATAGGTCCCCAAGATAGAAACACTATGAAAGACAATTTCAAGACATTAGACATTCTGAGTGGGGATCTACTTTTCTTCTATTTTGGTGTACACATTCAATGACATGCACGAATGCACGGATCAAACGCGCTAGGCTGACATGGCCTCAGCGGGACAATCGGTGCCAGGGTAGACCCGCAAGCAGATTGGCATTTCACTTGGGGACAGGCAGTGTCTTAAACTGTCTTAAATACCCGTATTGTGGTGTTAGGATTTACTGAATATGACATGCGCTGACATGCGCCTGTTATGCAATGATTGGGTGGGGCTGTGGGGAATATACAATATATATATATAGTTGGACCTTTCTGCAAAGTCTCTACCCATTGGACCCTCCAAAGTCAGCGACAAGTCGAAAGAGGGCACACATGAGCGGCATGGGGTTTGGGTAGAGCCATGTCAGATGTATCCACTAGGTAAACCTTACCCCAACATACCCCAACGTCCCCTGCAGGATGCGCCCTTGGTCATCGACGTAGGCGGGAGCTCCATGCTGATCCCAACCCCTTTTGGCTGGAAAATCAGATGTTGAAATGTGCGGACGGAGGGTGACGGACTGTACTCCTATCTCGTTGATTTTGCTTTCAAAAGACCTCGGTTCCAAGGCCGAACATGGTGACGATCAAACTGTGGGGTATCAATTTCGGTGACTTCGAAGGGGGACATATCGGAAAGTGTTTTGTTCATTTTGCGTCCACCAACCTCTGACATCCTCTGACCAAGATGGGTTAAAAAAACCACCAATTCGCCACATCACATCTCCGCCTCACGAGGCATGGGTCTTGGAGCTGACTCGTCCCTCGGCCATGGTTCCGGGAAGGCCCACAGGCCCCACACAGGACCCTGTGGGACTGGCATGTGACTCAGAATTCATACCCAGACGCTCCCAGACGCTCCATGGGACCAATATGATATGCCTACATTGGCCCCCGAAACCACCCCGGCAAATATGGCAGTCCCATGGAGCGTTTGGGATATGATCCAATCATATCCAATCCAATTGATCAGTTTTGCAAACGGATGTGAAACGGATGCTTCCTGCAGAATGTTGCAGAAACAGATGTAAAAAGCAGGGGTCAATTGGTGGCATGTATCCCAGCCCTGTGGAGTGGTTGGGAATTCGATCGACCTCCACTTTTCGAGCTTCTCGGAGGGTCCGGCGCGGTCCGAAGAGGCCTGGACCTATCCGACCGGCAGCAGGGCGGGCTAAGCCTAGCCATATTGGAGGCCCAGTTTCAGGGCTGTAGAAGGTATGTAATGTCATGTGTGATGTTGTTTATGTTTATTTTTTAAGTGCCTTCAATTTGACAAAGTTAAATCGCCTATAAGTACGGTGAGACTTGGACTTCAAGGCTTTTACAAGACTTCTCCACATCTCTGAACTTGGGCCGGTTCCAGTTCGCTTCGCCGTCTCGTCTCATCCTTTTCGGGACGTCTCCACCGTCCTCTGCGCGTTGCGTCTCGTCTCGTCCGACTCGTCGTCCGACTCGTCTCGTCCGTCTCCAACTCGTCGGACGGAGTCGGGTGCGTCTACCTCTCGCCCCGAGGCGTTACTACCTCTCCCAAGGCTTCCGAGTCGTGGCGGTGGAGGCCAACCGAAAGGCCATCGAGGCGCGGCGCCGGAGGAAGGAGGAAGCCCGGGGGGCGCGGGAGTTCGGAAGGAGTTCTGGGGTGGTGGTGATGCAGCAACTGGAGCTCGTCTTTTGAGAGGGACGTAGACGGTGTTAGATGAAGAATTAGACATGCGTGTTCACACGCTCCAAAGTCACATCACCCTGAAAGAGGGAATCCCTGTTGAAGTGACATTACTGGTACATGATGCTGCATGATGCGAACCATGGTCAGTCTTCCAATCCGGGCTGGCCGAGTTCCTCGAGTTCCTCGGTTCGGTGGGTGTTTCGGGTGTTTCGCCCGAAGACCTGAGGAGATGAACGTGGAGCCCCAAACGAATTCCCATATACCCTGGGAGTCAAAGACAAAAAGAATGATCTGACTAGGGGACCCCAGTCCAGGAACTTCCTTTACATCAGTCGGTCAAAATAGAGTCGAACAGGACTTCTAGCTACATTGACCCCCTGGCACCACCACCCCTGGCCGTTTCTCGGCAGTCCTATATGGCAGTCTCATAGGTGGAGCGGTGAGGGAGCGTTTGGGAATGAGTCCCGACCGCGGGGTCGGCCTTTGATCAGGTCGCCATGACCATCGATTGGGTGAAGCCTCTCGTCACTGAGCCGTTGCTGGGGGGAAGGGCCGAGCCGAGCCGCTGGCGGGGGTGCTGGACCCGGTGAGAAAGCGTTGAATGACATTGAAAGACAGACATGAAACAAAGGGACGGAGGAAATGCCTTTGTAAGATGGTCGTTCCAATTATATCATATTATATCAACAGGTTCCACAGGTTCTCTATGATTCTATATATATATATATATCTATTTGATTTGACAACCCTTTTGGACGTCAGGATCATGTGGGGTTGCTAGAGAATCATTTGTTTGCAAAAAATATATATTATATGTGCATGGTATATGTATGAGGCTTTGACTATGGGGCTTCTGTTTGGTTTCTTGGAAGAGCACCAAACTTTGCTGCCGCCTCTTGGTTCTTCACAAGAGACTTGCTGAACACACTGAGAGACATTGGGATATCGGCAGATATCAGCTAGAACCAAAATCAACAGGACAATCATCTCACATTCGTGAAGGAGCCATGGCAACGACCAGAATTTCAGTGCTGCAGGCAAGCGGTGAAGTCATTGTTCTTGAAGTCACTGCGGAAACGACAGGCTGTGAGCTTAAGCAACAGATCAAGGACATGCAGCCTTGGGATGAGCTTACTCGCAAGACTACAGTTGTGGAGATAATCCTTGAAGACAATACTTTGCTGGCCAATGATGCAAAGGTATTGGACGCAGGCATTGCTGGAGTTTCTGCTGTGAGTGTTGTTTTTAAACCCAACCTATTCATATCCTCCAACCAAAAGGCGCTCCGCAGCCGGGGCAGTGTCATTGACCGGGAACTGTTGCTTGTGGTCGAAGTCCCAAGTGGCCAGACTCAAATTTGTACATATGCATTCACAGGTTGCGACACGATAGCCAAGTTGACCATCCCAGACTCAGTGACCGACATCGGGGATTTTGCCTTTCACGGTTGCCGCTCTCTGGCGAACTTGACCATCCCGGACTCGGTGATCCACATTGGGGTTGGTGCCTTTGCGGATTGCCATGCTTTGGTGGACTTGACCATGCCAGACTCAGTGACCCACCTAGGGGAATTTGTTTTCGTGAATTGCAGCTCTTTGGTGAGCTTGATCATCCCAGACTCAGTGAGCCACATTGGGGATCATGCCTTTCACGGTTGCAGCTCTTCGGCGAACTTGACCATCCCGGAATCATTGACGCACGTTGGGTATGGTTCCTTCATGGGTTGCAGCGGCATTGAGCTGAATTGAACATGCCAGCCTCAGTGACCGACATTGGCGATCTTGCATTTCGGTACTGCGGTTCTTTGGTGCGGGTGTTGACAGTGTCCATCTTTGGGACCCAGGTGCGGAGAAATGCTTATCTTGGCTGCCAAAGAGTCGTAGCAAAATCGTGTCGCTGCAACAGATTTTGTGGCTCATAAGTGACCCCCAAGTAGATCGGAAAGAGCATTTATGAATCGTACCTATAGCCGATTTATGCCGTTTACAGAATGGGAGGACCACCTGACTTTGGGCAGAAACCACTGGAGTCGCTGGAGCTTAAAGTCTTTGACTGTCCATAATGGTCAAGTTTGCGCAATTTTAGTGCTTTTGCCTCAGTCTAAAGATAGGCAAATCAATGAAGTATTGTAACACAAGTTAGTAGCCAAAGCGACTCCAATGTGCGGCAATACCTTGACTTGGAGACTGGGTAGTGCTGACTCGGAGACTTGTCCCTCCTTGTCCCGGAGTCCTGGCCCACTTGTTTTTCTTTTTAATGTTTTTTTTGGTACCATGTCCAGCGATGTCCAGCCATGTCCAGCCATGTTCGCTGTGTGTGTGTGTGAAACCCTTGTTGCGAGTGGCATGAGGCGTTCAACTTCGTACGTCTCATCCCCCGAGTGTGTTCTCGTTCGATGAAGAACCAAGCGGAAGAACCGACCAGGTCGGTCGATCGAGCGGAAGCCGGTGAACGCAGGAAGAAGAACCAATCACACCCACACCGTCTCCGCCGGATTCGAGGATCCGGGAGGTCATGAGGTGGGAAGTCCTCAATTGATTCTACAGTTAATGTCTCTCAAATGTCGCGTCCATGCGGAAGAAGATAAGACATCACAGTAGTGTCCAGGTGTCAGTGATGTATCCAGGTATCCACAGTAATGTCATCACTGGGTCTCAGACACCTGTTGCGACCCGTAAAAGCCGTGGCACGTGGACGGCAGGATCAGTTCGGATCCGGTTCGGGGCTCGGGTGAACATCGGTTTCACAGACCTGCCATGGTTCGTGAAGATCTGGAGCCCGGGTGGCACACTCCATGTCACTAACATGGAAGTGAAACATGGCTGCCAAGGCCATTTCATCACATTTCCCTCTACAAGTGGTGGGATCCGGCTTCCATGTTAGTTGGTGAGTCGGAGGGTATAAGTTCGAATCTCTATAGGAATCTCCACGCATGTATATTGGGGGTGCCATGCATGTATATGGGGGGTGCCATCGCTCCTTCACTCGCTCCGGACTTCCAGGCCTTTGGTTTTGGAGGGACGGCTGAGCTTCCTTCATGCGGCCGGGAGACACGGTTTTGGAAGGGGGGCTTTTTGATGGCACCCTAGTTTTCAGCCACATCCACTCATCCACATCTCTTCGAAACCTCTCCTGAAGTTCAGGGGGGTTGTAGTTTGTTCCTTCTCAACAGGTTTTGCAATCTTTTGCCAATCTATAGTCCATAGTGGCTTGAGAAATTGCAAAGAGTAGCAAACTACGCTACTTGTCCAGATCAATCAAGCAAACAACTAAAAAGACCTTTGGACTTCGGAGGTTCCGTTTTTAAAATTTTTAGGTCGCTATAACCATACGTACCGTATCCATATATAGTATTCAAGGTCAGAGCCATCATTGGTCCCACTCTCTTGAGCAGTGAATCAGGTGGTTTCATGTTGTTTAAATACAAGGTATTGTCATCTGGTTTGGCTGTTTTAGAGAAAATGCCGGACATCTCAGTTCTCGGATTCCTCAGAAACCTGGTCGTCCAAAGGTTCACCACATGGTGCTGTGATGTTCATCCAACAAGTCTTTTGGCTCCAGATGATTTGTGTTGTCTTTGGGAGTATGCCACCCTGAAATAGGTCAGTGACCCAAGTGACTCTTCTCAATTAACTTGGGTCCTTTGTCAGGAAAAAGCATCCATCCAACTGTGTGCACTAACTTCACATGACATCGTTCAAAGACTCCACGCATCCCACCCCAACCAGCCTCCTCCTCACACTCCCACTCCCCCCCGAACCCTAACCCGGCTACGCCAACCACACGGGCGACGCGCACCCAGCACCGCACCGCACTGCCAACCCCCAAACCACTCAGCACCCGCCACCCAGCACCGCCCTGCCGGCAGCCCACTGCCAGCCCACCGCGTCCCCAGCACGACGCGTCCCGCGTACGTCACGTCGACGACGCTGTGGCTCGACGCCATGGCGCTGTGGCTCGACGCCGATCCGTCGGGCTTGACCTGGACCGGTCTCGACTGTGACGACGACCTGGCCTTGCTTTGCGCCGTGGCCCTGGAGCGACGAGGGTTGAGCGGTGTGCAGATCACAGGCGGGGGAGTAGGAGACGTGGGGGGGGTGCTGGGGGTGGGAAGGGCCAGAGAAGGAGGTGGACATGGGGATGACTTTGAGAGTTGCAGGATGTTGCCGGCAGAGTTTGGAGGGAACATGGAGATTTTTTTTGATGCAACTGAACCGTTTCTTTTTCCTCTCCGCCGTTCAAGGTGTCAATGCTGTTCATGCAGCAGCGCCTCTGGAGAGTGGCAAAAGGAGCTAAATTCAACAAACATAATGAATCAAATGCGATTATATAATCGCTATAAATGAAAACGGCAAAATAGTGAAGTTGACAGGCAATTTCTATCATGACCCTGGCATGTTGGGAAGTCGGGCCTGCGTTGCTTGAGACTTCCTTGGGAAAGGCCCCGGATGATGTGTGAGTAAGATTGAGTAAGCTAGTTTACTATTCTCAACCTTCAACCATTGAGACTTCCCACCGTGGGCGTGCTTCGAAGCGGTACCCTCCATTTTTCCCGGGTACGGCTTCGAAAAGCATTCCATTGCAAGCGCCAGCATGGCCGCCTTTTGCTTGTAGGAATCCTGCTTCACAACCTTCAGTACCCGACTCTACACGTCACAACAGTGAGACCTGTTAGGGCCCTTCCCGAGGTCCGACCTTCGTTGTTTCACAGGCTCAACCGATGCTCTAGACTTTGATTCACGACTTCTCGCCGATGTCCGAGCCACCTGATGTCCACAGGTGTCACCTTCGGCGCAGTGAACCCGGCCGTTTTGAACCTGCGGCCGGTTCGATTGATTGTGCGCCAGGTCTCTCCATTTGTGGCGGCAATGCGCCGTTAAGTCACACCTGGCCCAATGCCTTGCAGCTGCTGCAGAGCATCTCCTCTGTGCCTTTGGTGAGCAACAAAAGAAACCAGGCACGAGGGACAATGTAACATAGTATCCATGCAAATCATATGGTATTTTAAATCCAAACTGTGCGTTATGACTTGCATGGCATGTTTCGGAGATAGCCTCGGTAGGGGTTGGCGGATCCTGTGTTTGTTTTCTCATGTTTTCGCCCTGGGGTGATGTTCCACTGATGGAACCGAACGCATGGACTGTCTTTGTTAGGATGTAGGACAGATACAAGAAAGATCAAGAAAGTATTCATAAAACACACACACATATTTTTGTGAGTGCAATTATACTCAACATTTTAGTCAAGGCTTTTGTGATCATGAAGCAGGATTCATAGAGAGAGAGACACACACACACACACACATACGTTCCGTAGGTGTCCGTGCATTGTACGGGTGTCCGTTTCTGCGCGGGAGGCATTAAACCACCTAGTTCAGCGTCCACGTTTTGAGAACCTCCTTTTGCCGGCAGACCTTAATGGACCATTACTTAGTAGGGCAGAAGGGGAGGGCGGGTACAGGACATTCCCCTCCTTGTCACGTGTGACAACACTTGGGCGGTGCCAACACATGTGTTTCTTTCCTCCTTCCACTTCTTTGCCCCTGCTCGCGATGTCCTCGCGTACTCGCGTACCTCGTGGTTGATGTCCTCGCGCCCAGGATTGGAAGATCTTCAAAGGTGCCGGCTGGAGACGCATGCGACCGGCTTCTCAGCCGTCCTTCAGAACGCCTGGGGAGGGAAAGATCGTTTCTTTTTTTCGGGGTTCCGCTTTTTCCACTACACGGACTTTGTCTGACACGGAACACGTGTTCCACGTGACCGTCACAGATCGGTAGAGATGGCAGTGACCGGTTCCGAAGAGCGAGTGGCAACGTCGCCATGTGAAGGTGTTGACGTCGTCATCTTAAGATGTCTTAAGGACTTGTGACTAGAGCACCATGGCTGATTAGATCCGAGCTTTCCACAAGCTTTCCATGTCAGAGGAGTTGAAACCTTTGGAGTCCATTGGGTTAATCAATGTTTATCATATGTTTATTTTATATCTATTAAAATTGGGATCGGGTAATGATGTGCCAAGTGATACCACGTTTATCATGGTTCATTTTGTATCTATAAATATGTAATGATCAAGTATGATCGGGTCATGATGTGCCAAGTGATAGCAAGTGTAAGTCAAGTCTGAAAGTCAGCAAAGACCTTCCTTTGGACAGATTCACCCCCCACGTCCTTCTCTCCAGTGATGCGATGGGACATGGTCCTGGTCCATCTCTTTCAGGCCCTGTCAGGCTCCGTCAGAAAGACGTGCACCCATTCCGAAGTGAGTTTCATGTTAACATTGAGGAACTTAGTGTACATGTTACACTAAGATACATGTGGATGCTTTTTTCGCCCAGGAAAGCCTCAAAGGCTTCACCTCATGTCTCATGATGTCAGGTACCCCTCAATGTTTGAATCGCATACGAAACATGTTGGGGTCTGTCCGAACCTACCTGTAACAGTCAGCAAACACCATTTTTGTTGAGAAAGGACTGCAACCCTGCAACCCAAGCAACATCCACTGTTAATAGGATATACTCAACGCAGTACCCAACTCTCATCTGTCACATGGTGTGGATGTGTCCCTTCTTCGCCCTGTTTTCGAGGCTTGGGCATCCCTGCGGCTCTTGTCATCCCTCATCGTGGAGGACGACGCGGACGACGCAGCAGAGGCCTTGGCAGCTGCGGCGAAGGGCTTTCCGCCAAAGGAGCTGAGTGTTCTGATGTGGCCAAGACGGAATGGCAGCTTTTGTTTGATTGCGTACTTGAGCAGTGGCCACAATCCATCAAAACTCCCCAGTACAGGATCATACACGGCTTTTCACCTTGGCAAGCACCAAGGATTTCTCTACGCAGGTGGTAGGCAGTAGCTCCAACTTGCTCCAAAATTTAAAAATTGGTCTCTTTTTCTTTCTCCATCTTCACCCACCTATATGCACCATGATGCAGCTGGTCCGCTGGTCCCCACCGAAGCGGGTTCCCAGGCTGGGGCCCGCCACCAACCTGGCCATCGCTTTTCGACGCTTCCCATGGCTCGCGCAGCACCTGAAGCGCGTGGTGCTCATGGGCGGGGAGCTCACGGGGCGACGACTGGATTTGAAGCCTGGCAGTTGGATGGGCGTCGAGCGCTGCAGGGGCTGCGCCCTTGGACTTCCCTCGGTTCCAACACCACCGGAATCGTCACCAAGGGGTGCTATTGGTTGGGGTTGGAGGGGCTCGGCCCCCGTGGGATGGATCAACTGAAGTTGGTGAAGTTTGTGTTACTAGACGTGATCAACAAGATTCAACAAACCTTCTCAATGTGCATTGTAAGTAAGACCTCTTCATACGAGGGGCATTGATGAATCAAGAGCCTACATCAATATTACATATAATATACATTACATTACGGTATTAATTATATTATATATGATTCATGCACTTTTGATGGGGACGGGGAGAAGAGCCCAGGCAAGGAGATTGGATGTGCTTGGAGATCCGGAATGGAGATCAGTTGGGAATCTGGGCTTCTGACCTAACTTGTTGATCCAAAGCATCTTAGAATTTGTGAGTTTATCGATCCGGAATGTTCCTCCATGTACAGATCCAAAACATGCCGGGGTTTGAAATCGATTGAACTCCGACCGCTCCAAAAACACAGACACGACCGTTGGTAAAGGTCCTGGGAATTCTTTGCAACGTAGGCGGCGAGTTCACCGCTCCTGCGGATGGGACACTGTATATATAGTCCTGGATTGAACACATCTCAACACTTATTTACGGTTCTGATCAGTACCAAATACTGACAATACAGTATGCGCCGCTGGTTCACCAAATACAAGCCCGAAAGCCCGGAGCTGAAGAACATTGAAGAACCATATATATTTTCTAACACTATACTTAGTGGTTCAAGATGGTTCAGGGATAGTTACGGAACTGATATCTGTCGTATAACAGAACCATATAATATATATATGGTTCTGTAAGTACCTAGCACTACTTCCAACGGGCGCCCTGTTTGGAGACCTGTAAGTAGGGTAGGGTAGTCGAACGCCAGGACACCCAGACAGGATGACCCTGGTAGATATAAGTAGAATCTAGAAAAGAACCACAAAGTAGATTATTCCCATATATGAACCATCCTTCAGGATCCAGCCCGCCGTCTAGTCCCTGTGACCTGGGTGGTCCAGGTTGGCCCAGGTTTGGATCCAAAGACCTCTGGAAGAGATGGCAGAAGGTACATCCAAAGAACTGGAAACTGTTCCTGATGTTTCTCCATCCTATGTAAGAAATCTCAATTCAATAATTAACATTGGAACATATCAGGAAGAAACAGTTGTTTCTGGTTCTTTGGGTTTCCAGGACAGTCCCACCAAAAAGGACACCATTTTCACGCCCCAAAAGCACGCTCCTTAGCATCATATAGCATAAACCAATCCAAACCCTCGATCCAAACCGAGGCTCGTCGGGTCGAAACCGCCCGACGAGCCTCGCTGCGCCGGACCGCCGAGGAACTTCATGTCGGACCGCGCCGCGGCGCGCGAGGTGATCTCGGCCGGGGTGGGAAATCTCACCTTGGTGCCGATCCAGACCTGTGCGCAGGTGTCGGTGACACGACTTTTCAATACGATGTCCGGAGGGAGAGACAGCCAAAGGATGCCAAAGGTGCGAAGGCTCACAAAGATTCTACATGACAAGGGGTAGTTATATAAGTGAAAGATACCCGGCCCCAAACCATCCCAAACCAACATCGCACCTGCCATGAGGCTGTATTGGGGGAGGGGCCGGTCATCCAGTTTAAGCACTGAACGCCTTTTTGAAGGATTATGTCAATTCTTTTCAGGAGACCCATGGGGGATGTTCATGCATTTTCCCTTTGGCATGAATTCAGGCAAGACGCAGTTCGTACCCCAGAACCCAATAGGCATGAATGGAGTGCTGAACCGGTGACGGTGACGGCGTGCTAAGGTGACGGCGGAGTTTCTGCGCCGCTTGGAGACCTGCCCAGCCTCGGCCGCCCGCGCAGTGCTGCCGAAGATGTGTCTTGGATCGCCGCGGGGGGCCGCAGTGCAAAGGGCAAAACGCCGCAGTGCTGATGACCAGTGGCGCCTGAAGTTACGTGGGGGGTTGTTGGAGAATGCTGGATGTGTTTGGTGGATGAAGCAGAATTAAGGAGCTTCTCTGCGTCTGCGGATCTGGGAGCATGCTTGGAGCATAGCAGGGAGATGCAGGGAGGGCACCCTGCATGCTCAAGATAGCTGGAGATGGACAAGGTTTTGTGCCAAATACTTTGACAATAGAAGGATCCTGTATACAATCAAAACAGTCAGGAGTCTCCTATTATAGTTCCACATATGGGATGTTGTCCATCACCCGTTGTTTGCTCTTCCCGGGATTCCGTTCCAATGTTCATTGCTGGTTGAACCAACCCACCAACCTGAGTTGAAACACTGACGTTTTGAGGTACATATATATATATATATACACACTATTATACACTGGATGTCATACACACTCAGCTTTTGCCACCTGACTCTCATGATTGAACCAGACTCTTATTTGTACTGGGGATGAATTCCCTGGATATCTCATTGTTCCCGGATCAGCCTGGGTTTCAAGGGTCAAGGTCTGTCCCTTTTCTGAGACGACTTGACAATGGATCAAACCCCCAACATGCGGTTTACAGTTCATCCACCGACCGGCCGTGGACTGAACAACAAAGATTCTGGCAACTTCAAGCAATGACCATGACATCCACCAAATAAGGAGAGCTCAGCATTGTTCCCTTTTCCGAGGAATTTGTTTGAAGCCTCCGGTGTCTTGTTTTTGAGACATACCCTGCAATGGTACCTCGTTGTAAAGGACCGGGTGATGCATGTCGTCCGTTTGGCTGCAGAGGTGGCTGCAGACTTGGCTCATGCCAAGCTTGGTGAACCGACGTGTACAGCTGGCCCTCAAGGGTTGGCCTGCCAGTAGCAACTTGGATCGTGGATTCATCCCTTGGGACGTGGTGGCCTTGATGGCCACGTTACGGCCAGACAGCTTCTTGGCGGTGAGAAGGGGTTGGCGACGTTGGCGGGCGAAATGTGCGTTTCGCTTGTGCGTCGCGTTTTGGACTGCGTTTTGGATCGCTTGTGTGTCGGGTTTTGGATCGCTTGTGCGTCGGGTTCTCGTTGAGCGCAACATGCAAAGTGCGGCCACTAAAGAGTAAGCTACTAAACTCAAATACGCCCGAGCATTAATGATTTGACTCCTAGATTCTGTTTGGGAAACTTAGCTGTTCAAAGATGTTCCTTGAAACGGAGGCCTGTACTAAACACAAGTTTAAAACTCATTGGACAAACAGGCTGTCCCACTTGGTGGCGAACTCTGTGTGTCGGTTGTGCACGGATGTCGGGTGTGATGATGTGGACATGGGGCAATCATTCCATTAGATTCCCCCCACCACCCCATGGGCCAATCATTCCATTAGATCCTATTACCATAATCGATGCGCAAGTGATCCACTTTTTCGATGCGTAAGTGATCCTCCAATCCTTAATTGATCCCTGATGCGCAAGTGATCCAAAAGTGGATGCACAAGTGATCCCCCCGGCCCGTGGGTGCCGGGTGCATTGAATGTTGGGTATGGTCGAGGTGGTTTTGCGTGGTGAAATCGATGGGCGTCTTTCGTTCGCTGAGCCGTTGGGCGTCTTCCTTGCCTCTCTTCTGATGGACCCTGGCGTCCGGAGGCGCATGAGCGCTTCTTCGTAGGGCCGAATGAATGGAGATCCAGAAACGGGGCCAGCCCCAAAAAACCTATCCATGATTTTCGCATCAAAAGGGTTGGCCTGCTGGCCCAAAATGTCCGAAGCGGCCCAGGTTTCGACCAATGGGAGAGGCTCCACGTGTCCTTCCCTCCTTGCGAGCTGGAGCCATGCAATGGCACCATGTCCATCTCCAGTTCCACGGCCGATGGAGGTCCGGTGTGGGTGCCAAAGGTGCTCCGCAACGAGACCCTCTTCCTGGAAGAGATGTTGGACATGCTGTGCTCTGTCCCCATGAGTGGCCCGAAGCCGACCTTGCAGTGGGGCTTTCTCGTGCAAGTGCTTGGTGCCATGATTTCATTGTTGATTGGTTTGTTCTCGACTTGCTTGGTGCTCTGCAGAAGAAAGGAGAAAAAGGCGACAAGGAGAGCTGGAAACGGGAAGAGACATGCAGATCCACTGTTGGGGGTCTCAGAAAGGTCCGGTAAATAAGCAACATGTTGCAAACACTTGGAATATCTTGAAACAAATACCATCAAACAACCGCAAAACAAGAGCCAACACATTGTTAATAGTACCAGCAGTGTCTTAATAAAATTCTTAAGGCAGAGCAAGGTGGAGGAGAATAATATGTCACCGATTCAGAGCGCAAGCACACCCTGGTGATGAATGATCCAACACATTATTCAGCAGACTATATAGAGAGATCTAGAGAGTTTGTTGGTGATTTGCTGATGTTGCTGTCACAGCAGCCAGTCAAAACCACTTGTTAGGGCGCGAGGTGGCACATGGGATTCCAATAAGATGTAGAGCTCAGGATAGCTGCTCCGACTCCACCCTTTTTCTTCCCTTTGGCCGGGATCGGGGCCTGATGGGCAGTGACGTCCGACCCCAAAGACCCAAAAACCCAGGTCTCCTTCGGTCCCCAGAGGCGATCGCAGGATCACGCGAGGGCCCTGGGTCGACTTCTATCGCTTCACGTCCAACGACCAAGGCAGTGGCTGCACCTGGCCAGGGCGGCCGACAGCAAACGATCTTCGCCTTCGACGAGCGTCCGGCCGGGATCCCCGTCCTGATGCGGCGCGGCGGTCAGCGTGGCGGTAGAAGGGGGAGAAGCAAAAGGAGAGAAAGATGAGAAAGGGTCACACGGTAGCTGATGCAGCTGTTCAGTATAGATTCTACATAGATGTCGTTTGTTGTATTTCTTTTCCAAGCAGACAAATTGAGAGAGTGTACACTGGAGTGTTCATCGATCTTCGAGGTTCTCGGGGGTAGACGTCATATACATCATATTTCCGGGCAAAAAAATGGTATAAAACTGGTAACACCGTCTATAACCATTTTCGGACCCTCTGCTTTGCATGCGCAGGAGCAGAGCAACGCTCAGCCCTGGGTGGAAGAGCTGGGCGGCAAAGCAGAATCGGTGCGCACGGGGCTCCAGCGAAATCGGCAGCTGGGACCAGCGGGCCAAACGCCATGGCGACCAGCGGTGGATTTGGGGAATCAGAGTGGAACTAGGTGGCCATTGCTTGCTTCTTGCATTGTGGCGTGGCTGTGGCGTCAAGAAGTTTCTGGTCGGTGACGTCAGCTATTTACATTTCTATGGTTAAAATAGGTTTGAATTACATGTTTCCCAGGCACTCCATGTATGGAATATTATTACGGAATTGATTTACAAATTCAATCACTTATATTGACCCCGGTTCTACCACCCCTATATACTGTAATGTAAACAACATGGCATTCCCATCGGTCGTGAACAAGAATTTGCTATGTTTTTTCTGGTCTTTCTCTTTCTCGATGTCTTTTTGTGTCAACCCAGAACCACTGCGGCCAGAACCACCGTGAGGCACAGTGGAGTGCGCCGATTTGTTGCGGGTCTTCGGCCAACCCGTCGGGAGCCTGGAGTGGGGATGAAAGGCCGGAGCCTGGGGCGAAGACCTGGTGCTGTAATGTGGATTGTTGATTCACGTTAGAACAGAGGTTTTACCCTCTAAATGGGCGGTCTAAATGGGGGTGCTTGCTTGACTTTTGCTTTCAGGCGCTGCGAAGCAGTTGTTGGGCTGCAGCTCTCAAAAGGGTTGGTGGATGTTAGTGGGTTCAGTTTGGGTCGATAAACCATCAAAACTGGTCTATGAGATTCTATGAGATTTGACCGGATTTGATGAGTTTGGGATAGTCTTGGGAAGGAGGAATCGAACAGATGGCAACTTGTTGCAGCTTACCCAAGGTACCAGCATGGAAGGTGAAGTGAACCGATGTTTGAAGCATCGAAGACCGAGGTCTACATGAAGATTGATGTGGAGTCCAGCACCATTGATTGCCTGGACTCTTTGGTTCATGCAGCAGGCCCGGTGACCATCCCCTTGCAGTCCACTTTGAGAAGCCTAAAGATTTACTGTATACAATCCCTCCAACCATGATGGCTTCATGGAAGATGGTGCAGCAAGAAATCAGTGTGTTTCCTCCAATTTCAGGAGTTTTGGATTCGGATCATTCAGTCCAGATGCAGTAGACCATCAACCATATACCGTACCTTTCCATATCTTTCCATGCCTGAAGGGACGTGAAGGGACGCAAAGCATTCCCCACCGGGTGCGTATCCTGGGCTTACGCAGGTGTGTTCGGCGTGGTCCGTCAGCTTAAGAGCCTCTCCAGGCAGCCGAGCCATCCACCTCCCCAAGTTCATCTCCATGGAGTTGGAGGCCGATGGAGTTCGCAGCACCGACGAGTTGATCAGCTCAGCTGATCGTGGCCGGTGAAACAAGGGACGTGCCACCCGGCCACGCGCAGCCAAAGAAGGGCTGCTGAGGTCTTTGTCTTAAGGTAGATTTTAGCAGTGGACTCCCTAACGTTTCACAGCGGGTCACTGACATCAATTCCTGGTACCAAGCTTCTTTGGAGCGGTATTACTCCAATCCAAACATCATTTGGAGGCTCCGCCGGGCGCGGGTTGTGCCCGCCAAGCCGGCCCACCAAGCCGGGGCCCCAAGGCCGCCTCGCTCTTTGAGCGCTTTTATGCCAACCTGAAAGGCTTGGGTGGGGAGCCCAAAGCACCAGGCGGATGGGCCAGACGAGCACCAAGGACCAGCACCAGTCCCGTCCATTCCCGTGCCAGGTGCTGGGTGGGGACGGGAGCACCAGGGTGTAGGTGGTAGGGCCAGACTTCTTCTGATCCTAGCTCCAGTCCTGTCCCAGCACATGACTCAGCCAGGGGAGGACACCACTCATGCGGGGTGCACAACCGTTGTGTTCACGGGCGACCGAATCTTGGTCCAAACTACTGTTCTGTACCTGCATGACACCTCTTGCTCTATCTTGCTCTATCCAAAGCAGGCCAGCCGATTCGTCATGGGCCGAATAGGTCCTCCCCGTGTTGTTTCCCGGTGATGAGCTGCGATGGCCTGGTGCTGGAAGACATCACCCAAAACCATCCCATTGACATCCATTGACCTATATGGTGACGAGCCAAAGACTCCCGTGATCTCCTGTGCGATTTTCGGTGGAACAGAAGCGTCCCAGTCTGATCTATGGCCTGATCTGCGAAGCTCCTTGTGGTACTAAGGCTATCTCTACTACAAGGCATGTCGCCAGTGCGCCACAGTGCCAGACTCGCCCTCAACAGAAGTTTGTTACGTTGAACAACTTATTGATTGTGTGCTTTCTTCTACGCTGCTCGGTGGAAGTGATGGACAAACTTTGAAACTTGGAGGCGTGCGCTCTAATGGGAAGAAACCAAGAAGAAGAAGAATAGACAAATAATAATGATTAATAAGTAAAAATTAAGAAACATAGTAATTACATAGTTATTCAATGTTATTAAGAAGTAACAGTAGAAGAGGAATAACATAATCGAAACCACATGTAAAAACAGGCCTCGAACCAAGAAATTCGAGCATCCTGCAACATCTTCAACATCTTCAACTTGAACACCTCTGGGTTCGACGCTCTGGGTTCGACTTAGCAGGTACATCTATTCTCCTGCGCCTTGCGAACAGGGCCGCTACAGCCGTGAGGCCAGGCGACAAGGGGCGCAAAAGTGAATGGCGAGACCTGGGATGTTCACCCTTTCGCAACGAGCTGGAAGAAGAGGTTGAATAGCAGCTATAGCACCTCCCTGGACAATTGAAATCATGTCCTAGACATTCCATGTATGGAATATTCTATAAATGATTGTATATATATATATATGTATATATAACAGCATTATATATATATATGTCTACATTGGGGATCATTTGGGGCGGTTTCATGGGTCACTGTATACATGGAGTGTTTGGGCATTAAGACCACGAAGCACTTCGCCTTTCACCGCTTTTCTGGGGTCCATGGAGTCCATGGTGCCCACCGTTTTCACCACCCAGCTGCACCGGGGTCCGTGAGGTCCCTGGCTGCGGCAGTGGGCCCTTCGGTACGGCCGCCGTGGACTACCAGGAGGGGCTCAGGCCACAAAACTGATGGATACCGTGCTCCCGACGTGGGAAGACGGGTGGGGTGCGGCTTCCGCCAGAGAAAACGGCCGGAACGAGCAGCGAGTTCAAGCACGTAGGCAGTCGCGACGTTGGTAGAGCCACAGGATTCTGAGAAAACATATGTTTTTGATTGTTTTTGGAATCCCAAGAGTCCTCATGGAATAAGCAGGATTCTAAACGCTCTAGACTATAGTGACTAGAGTCGACTTAATCAATCTTTAAAACTACTATAGCTCGTGGCTGTTCTTCGTTTGCTCGACCACAGGTGGAAAGCCATAGATCGATTACCTTCAGACCGACAATGGGTGGAAGAGTTTGAACGTGGATTGGATTGGCTTGGGTGCCTCAGTTGATAGCTCTTGGCAGCCAAACATCAGAGCAGGAGCATCCCAGATTCCTTCCTTCCAACAGAACACTAATGAACAAACTCATCAGATGACATTGCTTTGCATATGACATAATGAGCTTCCAGCCGAACGGACCGAAGAACCTACCACCCTGACAATATCCATCGACTTGACCTCCGTTCGAACCACGCTAACCCGCGGCGTGGTTCGCTACGGAGGCGAGTGAAGTCACGGGTGAAAAACCGGGTGGGATTGAATCCGCGAAGGGGTGAAGTGCAGCAAAATTGCTGCGCGGATTCGTCTCATCACAGCGGGAAGAACAGGGATGGTATGAGTGTTTGGAGTTTCGAGCAGCAGGAGGGTGGCACATGTGAGCGACCCTTCAGCTCCAAAATACAAACAAGAAGCAAACCAAGTGGACTGTCATTGAAATCGGAATCTTCCGAACTTGAAGACTCTCGGCCATGCCGTGCCATGCCCATGAGAATTTGGGCACTACGAAGGGCGTCTCGATTTGTCTTGAAGTGGTACCAGAGATGAAAGGGGAGCTGAAGCATCAGACAAGGGCAGCCGACCCGGGATGAGGTGACTCGCAGCATGTTGCAGCGCATGTTGGGTTTTGGTTTGAGACCGCTTGCCCTTTTCAGTGGTGAAAAGGTGGCAGGCGGGCTGGGCTCTCTGCAGATGCCACCAAGCAGGTGGTCTCCTGATTGTGAGATGCTCTGATGCCATGGCCAGCTTTTACAGTGAAATGATGTGAAATTGACTTAGGACTTGGAAAATCACAGAGCCCAGAGATGAAACTCACAGTGAAATTTATTGTTACAATCCCAGATGATGAAACTCACATTGCACAGAGCCCGCCGTTGCAGGTTGCGACACCTTGGCTAAATTCAATGACCCGTTGGTACTTGTGCCGGCTGCAGCTTGCAGCTTTTCGGAGCTGAGATGGGCTGTGCCGGCTGCAGCTCCTGGGCACCACGGTGACCATCCCGGACTCGGCGGACCCGACCCACAACGCGGAGAGGCGAAGCCGGCGAAGCTGGAAAAAGACCGAACTATGTGAGGCACATGGCACATATCGTTCAAACCCAGGCCTTTCAGAAATTGCTGCCAATTGGGTCGCTTGACCAGCCCAAGCTCAGCTCAGTTTTTCGCGGGAAACTCGTGCCTTTGAAAGATGTTTGAAACGAGAGTCGACTTCCTTTGTCATTCAGTACAGCTGGTTTTGGACAGCCCCAAGAATGCTTCCATCGCTGAGTCACTGTTGAAAAGTAGTTGTGGAAGCGGCAGCTGCGTTGCCGTGGACTGGAAAGGAGTGTTGCCAGTCAAGATCTTTAAACAAACATGATATTGAATGAATATATAATTATAGTATATATTCATACTATTTCCACTAGTGACGCTTCATCCACAGTTTGATCATTACGCTATTCATATATTCATATATTATATTATCGCAACCAGTGACTCGTCAGCAGAGATACTGCTGGCCTACATGCAATGTTGACATATTCTCTCCAGGGTACATTGTTGTGCTTGAGCTGCATCTCTCAGTTCACGTTGTTCATTTGCTGAAGTGACAGACCTAGGGCGAGGAAAGGACACACCAAAGACGGACTGATAGGTTTGATGAGTGACCTAGTATATATATCGAGATTAAGGCCAAGGACCGGGATTATATAGGACATTGAAAACAAAACAAACAATGGAATTCACACATCCTTCATGTGTTTGAAGTTTTCGCTTTGTGTTTGAAAAGTCTTCCCCCAAACCGTTCAACGTCACACCCGCCGCCGGATTGACCGCGCGGTTCGGCGAAGCCGGGCGCGGTGACTGCGTGGTCTCGGCCCCGAGGTTCGACCTGCATGCGATGCGTCCAACGTGACGAGTATGGACGAAGAGACGGCGTCGGAAAGGAAAATGGGATCTGTGGTGTGTGTTGGCCGAGATTTCTGAGTTGAATTGTATTAGAGGCAGGGTTGTTGTTGGTTTATTAGATGGTTGGACAAGGGAAAATGCGGTCTTGCATCCAGTGAATCCACTGTTCATGTGTAGAGTCTAGAGTCTAGAGAAAACTCTCCAAAATGATCCAACACCGCTCTCATCATGGGTTTTGGCTCTAGACCCACTGAATAGCGCCGCCCAAAGCCGCTGGCGTGGCTGAAACAGCCAACCGTGACTGGGACTCTTCCCATCGATCGAGATTACGTGGGAGGTGCTTATGGCTATTACAAAGCTGGAAGCCTGCCTGTCGCCTTAGAGACTGCCGTGGGACGCGATCGCGTGGGACGGGGTCGGTCTCCGCACGGTCCAATGGTCACAGCTGGACCATTGGAGACTTCACTGGACCAGGACATGAAAGACGACATAAGAAGACCGTTTTCCTCCAAGTGGGGCTTTGTCAAGAGGTTTAGGGACATGAGACATGTAAGCAAAGTTTACAGCTGGTGGTTCAGCCTCCCTGAGGCTCCGTGTAAAGGATCATCATGTTGAATATGTATTCATATGAACTACTACGATATCGATCATGTTCATCATGCTCATCACCAACATCATCATCCGCTGGTAGGAGAACTCGCTTCAACCCACACCGGCCTTTCTTCACCCGAGGCCTTCACTGCTGGGTGGTGGCACCAGTGGCGCTTTGATGGTGCGACCACAGACCTTCTGACACCCCCCGAAACGGGCTGTTTTGCTGCGCAGAGTCGTTGGGGTTCACGGTGTTCAAAGGTTCTTAGTGTTTTTTGTTCAACCTCAATTGTTGTGTACCATTGTGTACCGTTGCCCAGACCATCCAGGTATGGCCTATACTGATACTGACCTGCGTTTAACACGCTTCACTAGTTCATACTGACCGAATACACCTCAATACTTCCATCCACCACCACCCCATCAGCGGCATGGTGGCTGCAGTGGCTAAAAATGGTTGATTTGTTTCATCATTTGAGAGACGATTCTTGCCTCAACAAACATGCTGCATTTGTGCGATTTCGCGGTCGTCCAGTCGAGACACAACGTGGCTCAGAGGGGGTTTCAATGATGGACCCTCCATCCTCGATGAAAACACCACTCTCCCAGCACCGGAGGCACGAAAAGGCTTCCAACCGACCTGTAGGGAGACCTGGAGGGAGACCTGTAGGAAAACCCATAGAATCGTGTGCTGGTATATCGTTTTATTAAAAAACAACAACAATACTTTTTCTGTTACATCTTGGAAGGCTGTGAATTCCACAATGGGACAAGGCAAGTGAGGCCCAAACGTGCCTGAATTGCTAACCATGTTTCCACTCCTCCTGTGCTCTCCAGTTGGCCAGTGGCTTTATGGTGGAGCACGATCCGCAGGACTGGGACGATCCCGTGGAGGATGCACACCCATCGGCCTCGCAGCACAGGTGTTCGGCCGAACGGATGCAGCCGGATCCCCTGCCATTGTTGTAAGGAACTGCGGGGGCCCTAGGGCCTTTAGGGTCGGTCCTACGCGTTTGAAGTCTTTGGAAGTACTGCTTATCTACGAACTGAATGGTTTGCCTGGATCTGGCTTTGCTTGGGGTATTTGCGCAATGAGCATCCAACCGGCCAGTCCGCTTTCTTATTGGGCTCAGCCACCAGCGGCCTTTTGAGCGTCCCAGGCTTAGTGCGCGATGACCGGTGGAAGGTTAGAGTTTCGGACACATCAGAATGGCCTCAGGATCTGCTTTGGATTGACAAGGGTGGACCTACAGCCATCTACAGCCTCCAGACCCCTGGTCACAGGCCCAGTCTCCCAGAAAATTCATTTTCTTGGGGATTCATGGCGATGGCCAAAGGGGGTTGGTTGACACCGCTGGTCCTCGATGAGGCTGGCATGCTCCCACGCTTTCTGAAGAGCAAGAAGGCTGGACAGGATCGATGAACAATCCAAGTATGCTTTGCTGCAATGATGCTTTTCATAGATTCTGGGTGAACATGTTGGAGGTTCTATTTTTGCAGCCTGAGCTACTCCCAATATCTCCCTGCATATGAGATGATATGAGGATTCAGCCAAAGAAGTTGGATTTTACCAACAAAGTCCTGTACAAGGACATTGCTTGTTGCATCAATGGAGGGGTTTCACTCACGACACGCCCGCCTTTCCATATGCATTCCCAATGTTTTAAGCTTGATCCACACGAGAGGGTGTTACCAGGTAGGCCAAGCTGAGGGACCGCATGGCCTCGTTCGACCTCACATGGCCCCTGGGAACCAACGCGCGACGCGACGGGGACGTCAGATGATGCCGACCGGAATGGTCTCCTTGCTGGGTTTGATGGTCGGAGCCTCAAGTGAAGGCTGCGTGAGCGTCACAGGATCCGTCCGCCTGGAGGTCGATGGGAGGGAAGTCCCCACAGTGGAGGTCGAGTGTTCTGAATTCATGTTCCTTCAATCCACTCATGCACTGATTTTCAACCCGACTTGGTAGGATCTGGTAGGTGTTTGGTGGCCAATGATAAACTCTACCTCACCCAACAGCTTCTCCCACCACTCAACCCCCAAGCTCCACCCCTTTCCATGATCTCCATGCCACGGTTTCACCGTGTTCTCGTCTTGAGCACCAATCGAGCGATGCAAAGATCGCACGAGGCCTTTGCCTACAATTGCATGCAGCTCCAGAAGTGGTGGGACCCCGAGGAGCCGACGCGAGGGATCCACGGTCCCTGGGTCGCTGGAGTGGTCGGAGATTGATTTTTTTTCAAACAAAGGTTTGGCTTCCAGGAGTGTCCAATGGATGGTTTTTGGAGGGGAGTTGACAGCTTCAATAAAATTGGAATGAAGAATCGAAGAGTCGTAGACGACAAAAATGAACTTCAAGGGCCGTTGTAGTGTTTAATTTGAGGATACTTGAGGTTACGTGTGTGTGTGTGTGTGTTGTTCTTTCAAGGACTGAAATATGTTTCTGTATATCATTAATGATTCCTCTTTTATTCCATCCTGGATGAAACTACTGGATACTGTATGATACTGCAAGTGTTTGGACTTTATTTGTCAGCTCGATGATATGTATTGTGTTTGTGATTGTTTGTATACCACAAGGTCAACAGATTTGTGTTGAACTTTCCTTAAGTTGTAAAGTTATGGCTCAGCTCACCCAATACGCTGCAGTTGACCTTCAAAAACGCAGATGAGTATAGTATAGTAATGTATAGTATATATGGCTACCATATATACATAGCTATAGAAGATTGAGTCAAAGATCGGCCGGTGCCGCACGTCTCATCATCGCAGGAGCTGCCCTTCCTGAAAGCCAAATGAGGCACCGACGGGGCGTGCTTGGGATCTTGGGGCCTGACCACCCCAAAACCGGTGCTTGTACCCCTCAGCATCAGTCATGTCCTTAATTGGCCTTAGTTCGGATGATGAGGATTCCTCTTTGGTCGAGGGAGTTGGTTCGGATGACCCCTCCCATCGCGAAGTCGGGAGCGTCTGGCATCTATTGAGCTTCTGGCACGTCCATGTCGACCAACGTCGTTGGTGTCACCACTCGTGGCGTTGGTGTCGTCCGTGCTGCGGCAAGAGGCAAGAGGCTTGGGTCCTGAGGGATTCTCAAAGGGCACTACGAACGGAGCAAGGACGCTACGAACGGGGCTCCTGGCCTTACTACTAGGAGCAAGAAGCTACTAGTCCGGTCCTCCACGGGGCGCAATTCAGCGGCGAGTCGGCCCAGCGACACAGCCAGCGGCGAGTCGGTCCCCGGAAGGAGAAAGATCGGAAGGTTTGAAGGCGCTGTGCGCTGTGTTCGATGGCTTGAACATGTGCTTTTGCTGCCGACATCAACCACAACGACCGCAACATTTGGAGCTTCATTTGGGAGTAAAGAGGGTGCTGCAAGAGGATAGTTCAGCCAGATTGAGAACACCCTGCCACTATGTGCCACTAATCTATCCAACGGGGTGAATGGGCTTAGGATTTTCTCACATCACATCATGCAACATTTGTCAAATGTGCTATCAGGCTATCATACTTTATCTAAGGAAGATGAGTTATATAATTCTTTGCAGTTGGGATATGTACCCTGATCAACACAACTCCAAAGGTTTCCCAATCTGGTGATTTTCACTTCTGCCCTTCTTAGCCAGAACCGACCCCAAATCCCACACACCCACGCAGCGAGCCGCATTCGGCCGCCAGCACTTGCTCCGCAGCGCGAAAGAAATCGCATTCGCAAAAGCGCCATGGCCAGCGGCCTGGCGGGGAAGGTGCGTCGCGCCCGCGAGTCTGATGAGTTTGACCTCAGTGGCTATGACCAGGCGATGGGTTTAGGGTTCAAGGGTGGAAGGATCAGTAGGCGATGGGACCCACCACTCTCACTAGATTTGCACATGATGGCACCTGCCAACGAGATCCACCAGATCTTCTTTAGAGTTTTTCATGGACTGAAGATTACAGGTGGTCAGCTGGCTGGTAGCATGAGATGTGGCCCAAAGTGGACCTCCAAGTTGAACTTTGGTGGAGGAGGATGTACTATGGTTACTATGGCCCATGGCCAATGACGGATCCACGCTATTGCTGCCATTTCATTTAGAGTCATTTGCAGCGGTTTCAGAGTAGATGGCACAAACCCTGCATGTCTTGGGCCGACAGGGGTCCACCTAAACCACCAAGCTTGGGGGCCCTTGTGCCATCTACTCTCCATCCACCGTAGTGGATATAGTGGCCACATGTGGCCACAGTAGCACATGTTTGGGGTAACTCAGCAGAAGCTACGGCTTGGAAGCACCCAACAGCGAAGCCCTTCACCGACGCCACCGATGGGTCTCACTTCCCAGCAAGTTATATACCATCAATCAAGTTACTATCAAGGTTCCTCCTTTTTCCTCAACACATCGCTGTTTCGGTCCGAAAAACTTCACCGGAAGCGCTTCCAGAAACCGGCCGGTTCAAGCCCTTCCCAGCCTGGCGCGGTCCAACCGCCCCGGAGGCACGGTGTCAAGAGCTGGCCAAGGATGCCTTCAGCGAGCCCTTCCCCTTGAAGGTGCTCTGGAGATCTCCGGTGGCACCGGTCGTTTGTGTGCAAAAAGCATGATTCCGGTTGGTCCTACGAAGCCAAAGCGGTTTTCGAAGGGAAAAGAGCACTGTGAAAAGAAGCGGAATGAATCTGAATTGATTCTGGTGACATTTTTGAAGTCTTGAAGTCTTTAAGGGCTCTTCGCTTGCAAATAAAGGCTATAGAAGGTTTGTGCACTTGTATATATGCTGTTGGCAACCTTTGGTATGGTCAGTCGGGCTAGCGAAAAAGCCGGTGAACCTCACCCAGTTCATACAGTACGAGGAGTGAACACGGCAGACATTGGATAGGCAAGCCTGAAATGGACTTCGCAAGTGGGTGAGTGGGTGTTTAATGATATGTATTAGGGAGACTTCCCAAAGAACCCCTGGAAGAACAAGTTGACAAAAACCCTTTGGTTGCGGGGTCTCCCTTTTCACCGAAAATCATACCCAAATCTTCTCGATTTGCGACCTGCCAAACCGGTCAAACTGGGCCATGATTTGGATCATCCTTAAGATCAGGTTTAAGTTATATAGTTGGAAGTCTAGTTGCACTAGTCACTATTCCTTTCAACCGTTCCTCACCAAGAGATACCAAGAAAATCTACTGTCCTTCTTAGATTCTTTCTCCAAACCTGCTCAGAAGCTTTTGCTACGATCTGCTATGACTATGACCCTATACTCGACTCCTCACCACGGCTAAGCCTGCCAGAAGTCTTCGCCTGCAGCCCACACAGGAGATGGTACGGATCTCCTTCGTGGTGGGCGGCGGGAAATTGGTGCGGCAGAAGTATTCCGACGATCTGCCCAAGCACATGGTGCGCTCTTTTAGTCAACGGACAGAGTCCTGTGGCGCGTGGGTCGGTGGTGGTCGGTGGTCGTTGTGAATGTGAATTCCGCTAAGCTGGTAAGGCGTGTTGCCTGGGCCAGCAACCTGGAAGAAGGGGTGAGAAGAGGGTGAGAACAGGGTGAGAACAGGGTGACATTCCAGAGTTTGGGGGGTATGAATTCTGAGATTGTTGGTTCCACAGGGAAGGGATAAGATAAGATCCGCAAGCAACAATTATATACGATACAAACAACTCACTCCCAAAGGAACGCAGGAGCTGCACTAATTGATTTGGCCACTTGGCCCACTTCAAGTGGCCGAAGTGACCCAAGTGGCCGAAGTGGCCGAGGTAGATCTGAAGAAACAATTCTTCCTCCAGGGAAGAGGTCACATGGTCACAGCCGCCAAGTGACCACGTCATGGTTCACTGGAACATGCTGTACTCACAAAGTGTTAATCTCAAATATATACTACTATATATAATGAAGTATAATTCAAAAACAGAGTACTGCATGTGTATATATAATATAATGTATATATTCAGGCGATTTCAGGCGTAACTGGAAACAACTGACTGGAGTAAGAACTAGCCAGTAGTAATTTGTTGACATCATAAAGACCGTCGCTAGACCCAGCTCCTGGGCATAAGCCTGAGCATTGCATTGGCATATGTTAGCAATGTGTTTTCTGTGTGGTCATGTGATTTCAGGTGATGCCATGTTTGGTACTTCCGGTGCATGGGCGTCCATATGAGCCACGTTTTAAACCTCAGTTGTCATGTCAAGTAAGGAGATCCTTGTAAGGACCTGTGGCGTAAGCAAAACACTGGTGGGCGTAAGCCCGTGTAAGCAATTTTAGCCAATGTTGTTGGCGTAAGAGATTTTTTGTGATTTGTGAAATGGCAGTTTTGGACAAAGAACCTTTTATATTCCAAGCTTACAGCTTAACATACATCCATGGGATCACTGTCAGGTTGCTGGATATTTGTTTCCTCAATTGGCGGCAAGCTCCATGCTGCAGGTTGAATGTGATTCTGATGATTCTGCAAGATTTAATTGCATGGAAAACGAAATCATGATAAAGCCCACAATGAAAAGGGTTGTCCACCAAGACAAGGAGTTTTAACAACTGCACTGTACTATCGGATGGAAACAGCAATGTGCCCATAGTGTCATACCTTTTTCAAGACCTTCACCTCCAAGCTTTGTTTCCGGGTTGGAAGCCTAAAATCCACGCAAGGTCCGCGTAAGGTCCGCGTAAGCGGCGCGTAAGCCAAAGCTGCTTTTGCCAGTAGTTGCCCATGTCTCCCAAACACAAATCATTTTCGCAACTTGGTGCAGAGCGCCAGTGACTTGTCGCAAAGACCGTCTCGGACATTTTGGAACAACATTGCCCTTCTCTGGATGAAGCACACCTCTTGCCGAACAAGGCTTTCTCTAGATGTCAATCTGTCCTTCCTGGCCTGTCCGCTATCAGTGGTGCCCAGTCTGTCTGTCATGCCCGCGCGCTCAGCAGAGGTGCTGCCAAGAAGCGTCGTCAACTTCGTCATCTGCGGGCTTCTTCTGTTGCTGCGTCTTCATCGGCTTCATCTTCTTCGTCCACGTCATCATCTTCTACTGCTTGATGCTGCCTAGAAACGCTGCGGTTCCTGCAGGTAAAAGTTGCTGCGCGTAAGCTGGGGCTGTGGCCCTGTACTAAAAATGTCCAGCGTAAGGTCTGCGTAAGCCGGTTTATTCCGCGTAAGCAAAACTGCGCACGCGTAAGCAAAACGTAAGACGCGGCGTAAGCGTTGCCTTGTTTGGTGCCGGGATATAAGACGTTTAAAACACAGCTCATATGGACTGCGGGGCGTACTATCCATACCAACACGGAAGTGAATCGCCGGCTCGACAGATGGCGCGTCTCGGGTGCGTGAGGTGAATGCCTTGAGCGCAGTGGGATTCCAAGAGGACGGTCCCGGACTTTAGTCGATTTCAAATCCAAGCGCAGTGTGAGGGTTGCTGGATCCTGAGAGCTAACTGCGACACCAGTCAGGATCAGGACATGTCGTATCGATTCAGATGCCCCGTCCCTGTCGGGGGTATAGGCCAGACATGTCCGCCATCGTAGGGGAACCAGGTACATAACTGGCCAGTTTGGTAGGTGTTTAGTTCGTAGGCAAGGAATAGGCAATTATATAGATGCCAACTATAGCAATATGATGCAATATGGAGTGTTTGGGAATCTGCTTCCAACAAGAACATAGCAGTTTTGGGACGTCCCAGGGCCATGTACGGATGGATCCTCACTCGCGGAGCCTTTTGGACAGTTTCACAACGAGTGAGGTGTACCGATCTTTATGGAAGGCCCTAACTCTGAACATCTCTTAACCCATGGAAGGAGCTTCAAGGTCATGGCTTCCCGGTGCCTTGAGAAGCCTCCAGCAGCCGCCCGGTCCTCCTAGGCCTCCCTGGATCTCCATGGATATCGATCTAGGATCGGCCAGACATGTGTGGCATACAGTCCCTGGAATAGTAAACAATATCTTAAACTATCCTGCCAATGTTCAGTCTGACATTGGATCAACGTTCATGGGCAGCTTCGATGATTTTTTTGTGCGGCTATTTCAGTGACGTGTCTGTGCCGCGCCTGGAAACATCCCAGCCTGAAAAGTCACCAGATTCAGAGTCTTTCATGAACCCCCCCGCTACTAGGAGCAAAGGGCATCGCTACTAGGAACAAGAAGCTACTTAGGAACCTCTCGAATTGTGAAAGATACGAAACATCACTTGCCATCCGACTGTCGGCACCTCTGTGTTTTTCTCCAATGGTGCCGACAGTCTACGGTCTATACCGTGTTGGGTCCATAGAAGCCACTATAATCAGTACATATCAGTACACTCCCTGGAATCATCACGATAGTGGAAAAAGCATTTGTTTGGTATGAGGAAAATGGTCATCCTTTCTGGGCCATGCCATCCACGCAGCGGCTGGTCATGTCTTAAGTGTAGTGAGTATTGAGATATATTGAGCCATCACCGGTTCCATCAGATTCCTCTAGTATCCTCTACTCAAGTCTCCGGTTCCAGGGCCGGCGTCCGGGGGCTTCACATCCATCGTTGGATCATCGTTGAATGGCTGTCCTGCAACGGTCAGTGAAACAGACTAAAATAGGATATATGCTAATAATACATATGATGGGTTTGTATATGTTTCTATTGAAATGGGAAGATTTCCCGAAAAAAAAAAAAAAAACAATGTGTAGACTCTGATCTATGTTTGCCCTTTCGATGATGAGAGGAGTTTATAGAACCTACAGTGAAATCTAAATGCACACTATAGAACTGAAGGACAACATCTCGCACCACATCAAATCTTGGGAAACATCGTGGGTTCTATTTGCTGTGCCCACACACGGAAGGGTAAATGTCCATGGCGGAGCTGGATATCCCCCTTTCACCCCATCCATTTTTTGAAGACATTTATATACGGCCGGCATTTCCCAAACTTGCCACACATGGACTTTCCACAACATGAAGACATTCCAAGACGACGTCCAAACAAGTGTTCTCGCGATCCTGCTCTCGCGAGGACAATAGTGCCACAGTGGAACCCAGCTCGGCAGGGAAGTTCAAGTACCACCATGTCACTTGGATTTTTTGAAGTGTGGACTTGTGGCGTAAACTAACAATAGTGAATCCTGAAAATATTGAAAATTCTAGCAACACCTGTTGGCGTCCCAGAACCAATTTCAATGTAGAGAGTGGGATATGATCCATCTCAACTGTTGGTCGAACGCTTCCTTCGACAGCAAGTTAGCAAGTTGCCCTTTCGGGGGACCATCACCAAAGTAGTAGCCACCTAATCAATACATAGAAAGGACTTGACCCATCGCCTTACGCATCGTCAAGAGTATATTTTTCAAGGGCTCAGGTGCCAAAGGATTACCAAGATGTACGTTTTTGCTTCAGCAGGGCAGAATAATCACACCATGTTTCTGGTATGCGATTACTCCCAGGCAGGATGACATTAACAAACTGATATCATGAGGTCCCAATGCAGCTGGCCTGGGGTGCGCCAAGGATACCAACAAAAACCTCAAGTTCGTCCATGTCTTTCCCAAGCTGATGGAAGAGGCTTCGGATGGTCCGACGTTCTTTCGACCAGGTCTGGAGAATGAGAGAGAGAGAGAGAGAGAGACGGACAGACCGACAGACCGACAGACCGACAGACAGACAGACAGAGAGAGAGAGAGAGAGATTGATTGGTTGTGTTCAGTACCAGTGGAGTTCTGGGCTGCTTGGAAAGGACGTTGGGGTTTGGGGTTAGTGCCTCCGTCCAAAACCTGTGCGACCTTTCAACTGTGGCACGGCACCCCACCTTCGGCACTGCACCTTCCAAGGGTTCACCTGTTTTTTTGCAAAGTACTGAGGTAACTCTTGAAAAGTTTGTTTCCCCCCAAGGGGTTTTTACTAGCTGAACTGGTCACTTTGTGACACTGAACCAGTTTCGGTTCTTGGTTGAATTGAGCAAACCTGTGCAAACACATGCACAACAGATATTGCACGAGTTACACCAAAGCATTGTAGGTTTGTGCCACTCCCTTCTCGAGCAAACATTTGGCATTCTTCAAGCTTACTGTGACTTGTTCCCCTCCCATTTGCTTTCTCTCTTTCCCCCGTCTCGGCAGGCGGCCACGGCGGCCCGGCCCGAGGGCGAGGAGGAGGCTGCCGAAGCACCGCGTGGTGCTCCAAAGACGCCGGAAGAGCTCCTGCTGCAGCCGCTCGGCACCCGGAGCTATCCATACTGCAAAGTTCCACCAGCCTTTCTAGTAAAGCCTCTTTGAGCCAGATCACTGCTGCTTTAGAAGTTCAGGCTACCAAAAACGCACAGTTTTTGTCTTATATACATCAAAGTGCCGGATGACGGGTGCTTTTGCCAACCGTTCTCCGCACACGCCTCTCCCGGGAAACGACATGGTGACCTCAGGGGTTCAGCGTTGCTCAACCCCTTTGCCTAATGTGTTTTTCTTTTTTACACCTCAGACCTCTAATACAAGTGATTAGCAATGAGCTCAATTCTTTTGAACAACATGATGAAAGCACAACCTTTTGCACAAGTAGCTCATGTGACTAGCTCCCTCTTCACACTAAACCAACCATCACTGGAATCTCACTGGAATCTTAGAGCAGGGCTTCAGCACTCCCCGGGGGATGTCGCCAAATGAACAAAAAGGGATGTTCATACCAGGTTGGTGCAAAGAACGCCTACGCTGGAGCCTCGAGGGTTAAGAACACGGAGGCACAAAAAGCAGAACCATATTGAACAACCTTTTGGGGAAGCAAATCAAAACAAACATGGTAAACAAAGAAAGAAACCAATCAAACAAACACACAAATCATTTGTGTTTTTTTATTGCGGCATTGCGTTTTATTTCATACCTCCTTGTCACCTGACGCTAGCCCCCGGTCAAAAGTATTTGTATGTATTTGTTGACATGTGCCTCCCCCAAAAGTCGCCTAAGCACAGACAAAGGCGGCAGCATAAATTTCGGTGCAACAGAAGTTCATATATACAGCTGGCACCTGGACCGTGAGTTGATCATACCAAAACTATCATACCAAAATTGCATGCTCTTATTTGCTGGAAAAGGCCGAATTGCAAATGATATGCTCGCTTTGGCACAAGCTGTGTTGCGTCAGTAGGAAATTCATTTTCACCTCTACTCTCCGCCTTCAACGCATAAGGAAAAAGAGGAAGGAGTACCCTTTCTCTTCAATGCCCACTGGTTTCACACGCACATGGACAGAGGCACTCTCACATGACTTCGTCATCTCACACACCTTCATCGCACACTCAACTCACATATACATTCACCTCACACCTGCGCGGCCTTGGTTTGACAGGGAGTTTTTTCCCCGCTTCACTACAGACTTGCTTTCGCTTCAGACGTCCAAAAAAGCTTCCGCAAAAAACTTTCACCACAGACTATAGTCGCGCGACTTCCGCGCACGGATTTGCACCAACCTCGTTTGAGGTTATTCGGTCCTTATTGTTTGAGATATTTTTGTATCTCACCCGGTATCTTCCCACTCAGAACTTCCGTGGTTTCTGCCAGGGATTCTATGTTTTACTTTGGTTAGTGGTCCTTGAGTACGCTCTGTCTTGAACAGGCTTGGTTGCTTCCGAGGGGTGATGAGCGAGGCCGACTTGAAGCTTCAGAAGTGCACAGTTGGCGTGGCATGTTGCCAGGGCGGCCCAACCATTGGGTCCAAAGCCCTTGCATCCCAGGGCTCAATCTGCGACGCCCAGTATCGGCTGTCTCTCCAAAGGCTTGTCGTCTTTGGAAGCCATCTGCGCGGGCAAAGTCCCCGAGGACAGGAGATTTCGATGCGCAGGCAGTTGTGAGAAATTAAACTGTGAGGCGTGGCTGTGGTTGGAGTTTCTCATAGGCCCTGGTGGGGTGTTACCACGAGCTTGCTTTCTGATTTCACCTCTCACGCTTGTTTGTTTTGCTTGGTCCCTGCCTTGGCTTTCCATCTCGAGAAAACGACAGGTTCGGCCGTTGCGAACCAAGGGCCGTTGCGAACCATGATTGAGGCTGGGTTTTCTGAACACTCTGACCGTGGAGAACCCAAGTGGCCAAAAACATGTACAATATACATTCCAAATGTATGTTGGCAAAAAATGTATTATACACTGCCAGGATGTATTTTGAAGAAATGCTGCCAGCAGGGATGTATTGTTCAGCAAACAAGGTTGTATTTTGCAACATGGGATGTGCAAAACAAATCCTGGGTACTTTGAGAGTTAATGTCATCACCACCCATTAAACACTTGCACAGCGCAATTTGTAGGAAGTGCTTGAGAAGATTGTTTTCTTGTGTGTGTACATGTAATGACCGGGCATGTACTTTTTTGCACAGCATATTTTGTAGAAGTGTCTGATGCAGAGTGTTTCTTGTGCGTGTGTTGACAGAGAGAGCTGCACACGCATTCAATTTTGCAGTTTTTGAATTTGTTGGACACTTGCTGTCTGTTTGACGCTCGTCCGCTTCCACAATATCTTGGCTCTTCAATCCACGACCCGGCCCCTTCCTACAAAAACCCATTCCCTCTGCCCACCCACTTTGAAGGAACACAATTGCCACCACAAACTTTCTGCCCCCATCCACCGTCAATAACCAGTTACAAACCCACCAATCACTGCTCCAGAACTGGCGTTGCTTCTAAAGGTCCTTCGGTCCCCCACTGTTTTTCTTCTGGCTCAATGTTGAAGCGAACCTAACATAGAACCAAATCACCACCACTCCCATGATTAACTTGTCAAGCCTCCCACTGATGTGTATCTAGACCATACTGATGCTTTTTTGGACACACGCGTTTGATCTCAGCAACTTGGGTTGAACCTTCATGGGCACAGGAGGAGCGCCCCAAACATCAAAAAACATTGAGCAACAAATGCATTAGCTTTGCAACTCGCTGGTACGTGCACCATGGGCTGCGCCATGGGCTGGGTTAGCTAGCTGATGGCCAGAGGAGGACAGATGACTTTCATCGAGGTGAAACAGTGAAGCTTGATTCAACTTTTCTTCATTGAATCTGTTATTTGTTTTCAGTTGCCATAATTGACATCAAATGACCAGGATAGTACAAAGGGGAACGCAAATGCAAGACATCCCTCTTTTCACAACACAAAGCTGTACAACGCCGTGGCACCAAACACATGTCACGCACTTGCTCTTCCGGCATGGCCGCCATGGATGCAGAAGTGAGGTCGCCAACAACTGGAGTTGATTCTAATTAACTTGGGCTGCATTTCAACATAGCAACATGACTTTAAGCAGCTTGGAGCAACTCCAGCTCTGATTGCCAAGGAGTGCGTGAGCGTGCCGGAGTGCTTCTCAAAGGCGGCGCCGCTTGTGAGGAAGAGGCCCAGGTGTTCTGGCTTGGCTTCAATTGCGTGAAGAGACTTTGACTGATCATAGCTGGGAGGCCCTGGGATGCCATGATGTGGACACCTTCAACTTCAAAGGAGTATTGTGTTCTGCTTGGTGAATTGCTGCCTTGATTGATTTGAATGCTCTTTGATACTTCTTTTGCGCGCAGGCGACACCACCTTCCATGTACATCATGGGGGTAGCTTCAGAGGAGTATTGTCTTCTGCTTCATGAAATGATTTGAATGC